ATGTGAGATCTATATCCGTTTGGAGATATGCCGAATAAAACGGGGAAACATATAGAATACATATATATAACTAATAAATTCTGATATGATATTATTGCACCAAGTGGCGACTCGGCGGAGTGCGAACGGAATCAGTTCACTTCGCCATGACGTCTTCGGGTCTTCTGCCCGCCGAATAAATTTTTATTTCAGTGTAATGAACATTTGAATTACAGTCCGGGGATTTTAGTCGAAATAGTGCCGTGTCGTGTGTATCGATTTTAAAATTTCAAACATTTAAAACGTGTTTATAAACGCACCTACCGTAATCCAGTTCGAGCGAGATGAAGAATATTGAGGAAACGTGTGTTAAATATTTGGGTAAGATCGATTATAAATAAATAATAAGAAGAAGAACTATGAACTATATTATAATGATATTATATTATTATGTCTATTTTGTCTATATAGGTACCTACGGGTACCTACGACATTTCTGGAAAAGAAAAGAGCGGTGGAAATGGAGTTTACAAAAACGACGAGAAAAGGAAATATTATAAAGGAAGTTTTGGTCAGCAAAAAGATGTTGCAGGTAAAATTATTAATAATATTAACTTGCACTATGCGACCTAGGTAATATTTTAATTATTCGATTTTACGTACCTACGGTTTTGTTAGTTAGTATAGGCTCAACAAAATATCATCGGAATCGTTATACAATATAGGTACATTGTAGCCTGTAGGACGCAGGTTAGGTTAGATATTAGATAAAATGTGTTTTTTTATGAATTCATGATCAACAGATTAATGTTATTTTTGAGTACGAAGCCTAGAAGCTAATCTTCAATCTCCTTTACATCAGTAATCAGTATTAGTTAAACATCCTGATATAGTAGGAACAATAAAGATCGAGATTCTAAATTAATAAAATTAAATCAATTTAATTTATGTATGTATTAATAAAGTGTAATTCTAAAATTACCAATCTTTAATCTAAAAGAACTAATAGACATAGATTTAGATTTTAGATTTCGACTAATATTATTACGTTGACAATAGTACATGATTATACTATCAACACTGTATTGGGTACTAAAATATTATAGTTTCAGCTTTTTTTTTTTATAAATACTGAAAACAAATTCAAAGATCGGTCAAAAAATTTGAAAATTTAATACATGTTCCTCATAAATTGTTCTTTACATAGGCAAATTTTTTTTTTTAATTTCATAATCATTTGAAGTTTGACAAAATGTATCATACTGAAACAAATTTTAGAATAATGCGAAGTTCTCTGCTATAGGTGTTGAGTGTACCTACCTCGTTATTGAGTAGGTACCTGTAATTTATGTAAATGATTTTTGAGTGGAGATAGTCTGTAGCCTGTTTGTAATTTAACTTTACTATTAGTACCTATAATACTGTAGGCAAAAGTTACAAAAAAGTAATCTAAATAATAATTTGTATATTATGTTATTGTTTCATTAAATATAATTATATCTCAGACAATTTCTATCCTCGGAATAAAATTAACTTACATTGCTACAATTTTGTCAATATTTAAACTTCAAAGTTCAAATAACTATAAATAAAATAGAGTTTAGATTTTTAGGATTTAGCAAGAACTTCTTATGAGAAACTTTGTACTTGTAATAATAGTTGTTCGGGCTGCCAGCTATTTACTCAGCATTTGGCCGGGCAGACCCTTGAACAAAAGTAAATGGTGTTCACCGTTGGACGGGATAGGTGACCAATATATATATATAAAATAATAATACGTCGTAAATACTAGACGATAATATATTACGAACACGAATACACGATAAATGTGTGTGTGTTGGCCGGGAAAACGTCTCTTGCCGGGCGCAACTCAAAACAATAATAAACAATAATATTGATAGGCAATAACAACAATGATAATAGACAATAACAATGAGATTAATGGTCGGCACATGCGTCGCGGTGGGGCGGTGAATCGGTGACGGCTACGGCAAAAGCTGCTGCGGCAAGGTGATGACACGCAGGTGAACGGGGGGCGGCGGCTACGGACGACGGCGAGTGACCGGATTACGTAATGCGCAAGTCACATAATCACGGCACTAAGGGCAGCGTCGCAAGAGGGATTTACCCACACAATAACAATATTGACGGCGAACACGGAACAACTATACGCGGTTTACCGGTCGCGGCACGAATTGTGGCTCGTCGGAATCAGACTTACGAGCCGAAACGAAATAATAATACTTGCGCGAATAACGGCCGCGGACAGCGAGTAATGATCGCGCAACGAACAACCGGTCGACGATAGTCGGTACGACGGCGAGAGAGACGACAACGGCGTCGAAAACACAATTACGTCGGATTGCGCGACAACGCAATATTATTTCGTTATTATTAATACGAGCGCGAAACAATAATATGAAATGCGAACATGCATTACACGAGGTTGTCGCTAAACGGCACCAAGACGACGGCCGAACTCGACACGCACACGGTCCGCTCGATCCGAGCTTACGAAAAAGACGAGTTTAGTAGCCGGCGGCGACTCGACCGGAGCCCGTGGTCTTCGTGCGCAGTCTCGCGGACCGGTTGCCAAATGTTCGCTGAAGGCGGCGGAAAGTTCAAACAGTAGTATTAATTATTATTTAGTATACTTTGAATAATATTAATATTATGATGATGTATTAATATACATAAATATAATCAGCGCCGGCCCCACTGCCTCGGCCAATTGTGTATTATCTATAAATTATCAAAATTATATTGTCCCAATAGTACTCAAATTGCAACCTGCGTGGACTCGTATTTTTCTTAGGAAACGGCAGTGGCGGTTCTGGCCATAGACTTTTTAGGAAGCCACATGCTCACATAGGCAAGCCCGTGGGGGGCTTCGTCCCCCATACCCCCTTCCATAACTATAAATATAAGAAAATCAATTGTTCTTAATTGACAACAACATTCTTGAACTGACTAATATATTTATATAGTAACATCAAATTAAATACAAATGTATGAAAAATAAATTTTAAAATGAGGTAGGTACCTACATAAAATATAAATTCATTATTGTATGAGCTATAATTAACGAGTAAATGTATAGTATAGGTTTACAACTAGGGAGTTTTACAATAAGTTATTGAATTGGCTATTATTTTATTAAATTATAACTATTAACAAATAACTTAATATCGGTAAGGTTAATAAGAAGAGAAAAAAATAATAACCTGAAATTTAAAAATTCTTTGCTGATTATATCAGTAGGTAGGTACTTTACAACATTCGACATCGACAACACATCTAATATTGTATATGTACAAGACGTGACGAGTCAAAACTATGTCTACCAAAATGTTTTAAAATATATTCGAAGATATAAAATATTTATACCTGTAAATATATTTATATTTATAGTGATAGTGGCATGCTGATAATAGCAATGACCACAACTCTACTTTGACAGTTCGATGGTAGGAGGCAGCGGGCGACGGGTTGTTATGTCGACGAGAATCAAAACAGTATCTAGCAATATTATACATGCCTAGCCTACTCATTGTTTTTGGCTTGAAAATACTCAAACATATTATTTTATATTTTTATTTTAATTATAAGAAAAATGAATAAGTACCACCATTGATTATAAATGCTACTAGTATTTATAAGCATTGTTACCACGTAGGTAGGTACTTGAAAAAATGTTTTAACAGTGGTTTTCAAACTTTTAATAAACACGTTACACCGAGCCGTGCTCCTCAAAAAATGTTTACGGAACAGTGATCAGCTGGTATGTCGATTTTACTCACGTAATATATTATGTGCTATGACGAAGATTTTTCCGTCCGCCGTATTTATTTCCGTTTCGAGTTTACTCACAATGATAATCTCTGATATTATCTGATCATGATTGGTGGACCGATACTTAAAATTGTTTTACCCACGTTAGGTCCGTGACCGGAGCGCACGTATATCGATCGCGTTTGATGCGGACCTGTGGGGTGCTGCGGTGTTCGCCCGTTTGAGGCAGGACACGTGTATTTTGCGTGCTGGTTGTTGGTCTGTGATGAACACACCTTTGCCTACGCGTTTGTACAGTTTTACCGGTCCCCACCATTTCGGTGTGAAGCCGGCGTGAAACTTTTTGTTTCGCGCTTGACAGGAGGTGTGCCTTGTAGTACACCATGTCACCTGTTTTGTGCTTTGTGTCCATCGGGCCACCTGTTACAGGTGGTGCGGTCAGTACGTTGTTTTCGCGACTCACCCAATCCATATTTATTTGTTCGATCCGGTTGTCCGCTGTCCGTGACAGTATCCGGTCCCCGGCCTCTTGCCCTGATGGTGGATATCCTGTCCGGTCGTTACGTCTGTTCCTGATCGAAAAAAGTATGGGGGCTAGCTTGGTGTCCCAGGTGTTGTGGTTGCCGTCGATGAGTAGCGCGCGTAGACCTTTTTTTAGTTCCTGGTTACGGCGTTCGACTGGGTTGGCCCTTGGGTGATATACCGGAGTTGTCCAGCCCTCGGCTCCCCACTGTTGGATCGCTTTACGCATGTCGTTTGCTACGAACTGTGGGCCGTTGTCGCTCAAGCACACACGGGGGTATCTGAAACGTGAAAAGAATTCTAGTTGCTAATCAAATCCCAGGGGTGTTGGGGTATTCTGGTGGTCGCGGGGTCGTCTGCTTGCGTGTTTAGTGGTTTGGTACACGCTCATACGTGACACGACTTGACGTACAGTTGGATGTCGTTTTTCTGCCTTTTCCAAAAAAAACGTTGTTTGATTGCCCTGTACGTCTCTTTCCAGCCCGGGTGGTTTGCGAGTGCGTGATCGTGGTATCTCCAGATCACGTTCTGCGTTTTGTATTTTGGGATGACTACAGGTGTGTGTTCGCCCAAATTTATACTCAGAAGACCGTCGGTAAAAATATATTTATTTTTTTTATCCGTAGTACTTCCACTATTGTGCTCTGGGTTGTCCGTTGTCATGTTGTCCGCTAAGTCTCGTGTATTGGGGTCATTGGACTGCCATGTCACGAGCATAGAGTGTGTGATTGTGTGACCACTAGTAGTGTCAGCCGGGATTGATTATATGTACATCTGAATCAAAAATATATAAATATATAATATGAACTATTTATTAACTACCTATGTTCATTGTATGTTATGTGTTTGTCTAAATATGTATCTTGGGTCAAAAAAAAAATAAAATGTTAGCTGTAAATTCCGTATTGTAAAATACTCGAGTAAAATCATTCAAATATTTTTTAAGTAGGTACCTAGGTACTCGAATACATATTTTAAATACCTATTTAAAATAGGATCTGTATCTGTACTTGAATAATGAGGGGTAAACACCTTGGGGGTAATATTCAGTGTACAAGGTGATGGTAATCATGGGTAATCATAGGTAATCTTTGTAGTAAATCATGGGTAATCATAGGTATAATCATTGAAATCAGTAATCTGGTGTACAAAACTTCTGTCAGGTATTTACCCCTCGTTGAATAATTTGTAAAAAGATACTTTTACAAGATTGGCATACAATATATTACCTATGTAACACATACCTGATACTCCTCATCTTTTGCCTCAGTTCTTTAACAGTTTGTAATTTAGTAAAATCAAGGAGGGCTTCTTCAGCAGCATCGCGTTTGTGTCGCAGTTTATAGTTTACATCCTTCTTAAACCATAAACAAGGATATCTTTGATATTCCTCTAGAAAACTCGGTATATCAAAATCTGCCATTTTGAAAATAATACTCAATATTACTAATTAAAATATTAATATTAATGAAAACTAAAAAATTCAATTCAAAAACGATAAGTAATATTGTTTCATAACCGTTTCCCGTGATAGCGTGAATGTGATAATATGCTGTTCGCACGATGAAAGTGCTATCACTATCACTCACATTCACTATCAACTATCGTGCATGCATGATAGTGCGAGAGCTGCTTTCGCAATAGTTCGATAGTCACTATCAACCTGTTCACACTATGACACTCTCATGATAGAACCTTTCACGATAGTAACTATCGCGTTTTACTATCATCGTGCGACCGCGGCTTTAGTGGAGCAATGTGAGTGCTGAATTTTCGGTGAATAGTTTAAAACGATTTGCTTCTAGGTATGGTCTAAAGATGTCGATTGCCCAGATTATAGCGAGGCACTCGCGTTCTACCGCGGCGTACCTTGTCTGCGTATCACTAAACTTTTTGCTTGCGTAGGCGATTATCCGCCTTTCGTCCGGGCTGTCACCCCGTTGGAAAGGACAGCACCTGCTCCTATCTCGCTAGCATCAGTCTGTAGGCAAAGCGGTTTTCTGTAATCCGGCATCAACAGTTTTGGCGAATCGTACAGGGCACGTTTTATTTTGGGGAATGCCGCCATGTTTCGGTCCACGACCATTTGGTCCCTTGTTTGAGCCTATTTGTTAGGGGTGCTATGGTGTCCACGTAGTTGTCGACAAACTGGCTGTACCAGTTGCAATCGCCCAGGAACTTCCATAGGTCCCTCAGTTTTGTTGGTGGGGGGTAGTTGATGATGATGCCCTCTAGTTTCTCCGGTTGTTTGTCTATTCCTTCGGAGGTGACTAGGTGTCCAAGAAATGAGATTTCGGTTGCTCCGAATCTGCATTTTTCGGGGTTGCATGTCAGCCCGTGTCTCTGTAGGCGTTCCAGAACTTTGTCTAAGTTTCACAGGTGTTCGTCCGTAGTGTTTGAAAACACCACTATATCGTCTAGATATACGCGGACGAACTCGTCCAGGTACCCCCTCAAGACTTCGTTTATTAAATGCACAAAGTTCATGGGGCTGTTTTTGAGGCCGAAAGGGAGGACTCGGAATTGGTATAGGCCCCGACGCGTCCGGAATGCCGTGTATTTTCGAGCGTCTTGCTTAAGTGGTACTTGCCAGTACCCCGACTTAAGGTCAAGAACGCTGAACACTTTTGCCCCCCTCATCTGACGTATCAGGTAACGGTACCGTATCATCTGACGGTAGGGTAATTGAGGTTGGGCATTGGGTAAGCGTCGGACTCAGTGATATCATTGAGCTGTCTATAATCAATTCGTAGTAGGGGTCGTTGTGTGTGGTGATGATGACCTGCTACTTAACGGAATTTTTGTTTTTTGGACGGGTGATATATCTGATGACGCCGAGTTTATCGATACGCGTTTGATGGTTATATCCCCGTCTGTATTTCCGAACGTTGTGTGTGGTGGTGTGGCTGTGTGTGTGTGTGTGTGTATGGTTGAGGCGGTTGCGTGTTCAGGGGTCCGACGGCTCATTTCCCGTTTCCCGATCGTGGTGTGTTCCCGGGGCAGTCACTGTTCCAGTGAGGACCTCCGCAGTACCTGCACGGCTCGGGCGGTTGCTGTTTCCCTGGCATACCGTCCCGTGTTCGCGTTTGGTGCGTCGGTTGTGGCCCACGTGGGTTTGGGGAATTTTTTTATACGCCGGTTTCAGCTGTGGTTGTGTGGCTGGTTCATCTGGTGTGTACTCCAGGACTCCAGTAACCTGGCGGAGGTCTCCAAATGTTGCTGGTCTTTGCAATCGTATATGTGTGCGGTATTCGTTGCGCGTTAGTCCGGCTCTCGTACCGACTAGCTGTGTTTCAGGTAGCCTGGTATTGGCACCGCTTGATAGTTGATTGTTTGTGTCACGAACTCCGTTAGCGATTGCGTTGCTATTTGTCGGACGGATACTATTTCGGCCCTCAGCGGTGATTGAATTTCCACGTTGTCGAATTTTTCTAAACATTCGGCCCGGAACTCATCCCAGGTGAGGTCCAGTAGTCTGATGGTGTTCCACCATGTACTGGCTGCACCCTTTAGCTGCTGTGCGACAATATTTGTCCAGGCCGACCTATCTATCCGTGGTTGGTGCAATATCAATTCCTCTTTATGAATAAACCGTACCGGGTCCTCGGGTGTTGTCCCGTGATGGAACTCCGGCAGCGAATGTCTCGCTGCGCAAACGTCGTCGTACGGTATCAGCATCGATTGTTGTGCCGGGTATGTGTGTGTGGAGGAAGAGGCATTTAGTAAATTCTGCTTATCATCGAAACGTACTGATCGGTCGGCGTGTTGACTACCCGTGGCCGGCGGTTCGCGTGCCACGGGGTAACTCGTTCCGTACTCCGTGTTGTTCGATGACAATGGGTGGTGGGTGCGGGTCGGTAGTGTTCCATTTGGTTGCTGTTCCGGTGCTTGGCGTGCCATACCCATCTCTAGGCGCCGCATTGTCTCTGCAATGCGACGTTGGTCTTCGCCAAAGCGGACCATACAGTTCTCGAGCGTGGTCAGTCGCGATTCCAGACTGCCCCCATGCGCCGAGTTCTCCGCCGCTTCCCGTACCTCCTTAATTATATTACGACTCGTTTAGATCATGTCCATAGCTTGTTGGTGGGTGGGTATGGGTGGTTTGTGGTGATGGTGTTCGGGGTTTGGGCGGGTGAGGACTCGACCCATTGATGTTCAACTTGTCCGGTGACAGGCACCTGACCAGTCGCCGGGTTGTTTCCGGTTGGAACAATGGTTCCCATAGGTGGAAACCGGATCTCGTTGGCCTGTAGGTACAGGTCCGCGAAATGCTGGGTTAACCGGATTTCGATATCATCCTTTGCGCCCGTATCCGATAACAATCGCTGTCTGAATTCTTAGCGTAATTCCGCGGCAGTCAATTCATTAATATATTTCCCGGCATGATGTCCGGTTTTTTTTCCGGTGTGTTTACGGGGAAAATATTAAATGTGGCTGTTGTTGGTGGAACGGATGTCGCGTTCCTTCGATCAGCTGTGTTGACCGCTTATCGGTGTTTATTTGCGTACGAAATGTAGGTCAGTGGGTTGTTATTGTTTGACTGTTATTGCGCTTACCGGGCAATAACAGTAACCGGTCTTCGCAAAGTGTTTTCGCGGATGCGTGTGTGTGCGTTATCCAGTGCACTACTGGAATTAGGGAAGACGGCGGCTGTCGCTTTGAGCTGCGGCGGTGGCAATCCGATTACGTGGTATTTCTGTCCCGGGTAATCGCGTTGGCAAGTTGGCGGGGGGTGGCCCTGGGCGGTGGTGGTGTGTCCTCGCGCTCTTGGGTTCCTACCTACCTAGTATCTACGTCGTGTGTGTTTGCAGCTTCGCTCGCGGGGTAGTCAGTGCCATAGGCGCAACTAGGGGGGTGCTAGGGGGACTTTAGCACCCCCAGACTAAAAATTAGCACCCCCAAAAATTCAAAGTCAAATCCTTGATTTGTAAGCTGTAGGTATTTCATTATTGTACCTACCTATTCTGTTCAAATTTTTATTTTAGAATAATTTATTTATATTTAATGTTTCGAAGATAGTTATATTAGATGACAACATAGTTTGTCATGAGGTCTACAATATAATATCATGATAGCCGATAGGTAAGGTATATTGCATTGGGAATTTGGTTGTGTTAATAGTTATTTTTAAACTGTTATATCTACGTAATCCGCTACCCGTATGTTTTCCATTATATGCGTTATCGTTATAAATTATAAATATAACTTATAACATTACACAACAGTCGACGAGACGACGACACACGTTATACAGACATACAGTACCCAAAACTTGAACTGCCAACAGGTAACAGTATTCCGTCTCCGTAAATCTGAATTGATAGGTATTTAAAATGTTTAGTATTTTTAAAAAACGGAAACCTAAAGCTGATATTGACGATCCTGGCATGGTTGACATTTCTACTAATAGTACTACTCATACAAGTGATACAACTCTTGATTTGGCCGATTTGGGAAATAAAGATTCCGGCCCATGTCGTCCTATACTTACAGTAAGATTTATTCTGTTTACATATAAAAACTTAATAATTCGTTTTATGAGTTTTTTTAAATAAATAAAATAAAATAATAATAATAAAACTATAATAAGGTGTTTAATATTTTTCTGATTAATTTTATTATTATTTATTAATTAGGAATATAAAAAAATTAAATTTGGAACACAACAAAGATCGTTTCGAAGCCAATGGTACAATGAATGTGATTGGCTAGAATACAGTGTTCAGCGTAACGCTGCATTCTGCTTTGTTTGCCGAACTTTCGGTTCAGAAAATTCAGGTGAAAATATATGGATTAAATCTGGGTTCAATAATTGGCAAAAGGTAAGTAGTTTATTTTGAAGTGTAATAGTATATGTATTTTTACAAATAAAATAATTAAAAAATAAAAATTATTCAAAAACTTAAACTTCGCTAGAATAACTTAGTGTGTTAGACGTTAGTATTGAATACTAAATTTGTATCATGATTAATATAATCGACCACATTTTTTTCAGTTTCTTGTAAAATCAAAAAAACATTCTTCTACCAGTACTCATTTGACTAATTTATCAAAAATGTGTGCATATAAAAGTAGTTTAAAGACAGGATCTGTTGTGACACAACTATCTAGCGCTCATAAAAAACAAGTTGAAATTAATCGCAAATACATGTCTAGTTTAATTGATGTTGTGTTATACCTTGCTAAGCAAGGCATAGCATTTAGAGGACATAATGAAAATTTAGATTCTTTAAATCAAGGTACATTTAATATTTATAATGTTATTATTTATTAATAAAATTAATATTTTCTTGTAATAATATAAATACAATTTTAGGTAATTATAAGGAAATGTGCCATATGGTATTTTCAAAGTTCATGCCAGATTTGAATAATGTATATGAGAATAAAATTAACCATACCAGTTGGAAAGTGCAGGACGAAATTATTAAAATAAGTGCTGACCTAATTAAAGAAATTATTGTTGAGGAAATTGTTGTTTCTGGGAATTTTGCACTTATGGTTGATGAAGCCAGGTACAATATATTTCACCATTGTAATATTTATAATAGTCATATATACCTATATTTTGATCAAATTAATATTTTTTAAATGTAAATATATATTTGTCCACAGGTCCCATAAAGAAGAACAGTTATCTGTATGTGTGCGGTATGCTGTTGGTCTTGAGGCACGTGAAAGATTTTTGCAATTCATAGATGTTTCTAATGGACAAACTGCCAACCATATTATTTCTGCTGTTTTTAATTGTTTTCAAAATTTAAGTATTAATATCAATACATTAAATATTGTTGCTCAGTCTTATGATGGTGCCAGCGTAATGGCTGGACACCTTGGAGGTGTCCAGGCAAAAATTAAACAACAATTTCCATGTGCCATATACACACACTGTATGGCACACAGATTAAATTTGATTGTTGTGGATATGTGTAAAGGAATAAAGGTATTAATTAGTTTAAGATAATAAAAATAATAATAATAATAATAAAATAATAATCAAACAATAATTCATTGAAGTATTTTTAACAGAATGCCTATAAGGCTATACCTGTAGTAAAATAATAAAATTTTTATCATATAATTATATAATCTGTATTAACATTTATAGAGAGCTCGAAGTATTTTTAATACTTTAGAAATGGTTTATGTTCATTTCTCTCGACCATCCAACAATGCTAAACTCATTGAAGTTCAATCTAAACTAGGTTTAAAAAAAGGAAATGTTCTCAGGATATGCGATACAAGATGGGTATGTCGCTATAAAAATTGCGAGTCGATGATAAAAAATTACTCATCAATATTAGAATTTTTAAAGAATGAAGTTGAAGCACAAGTGGACAAAGATGCTATTGAAGCTATCGGTAATTGAAAAAAAATTATGTAATGTAATTATAATTTGATACATTATTTTTAATTGTTGAATTTTTTTCTTAATTATAATTTTAGGTATTCTCGGTCAAAATACAAAACTGTGCTTTTTTTATTGGAGTTACTCTATTGAAAGACATTCTTGGTATCATTAATATAATAAGTGTCACATTACAATCTAAAAATGCCACTTTAGGAAAAGCAAAAAGCATTATCAATGGAAGTATACAAAGTATTGAAAAATTACGTTCTGACATTGAATTTTCTACATTTTGGCAAAAAATTACATCTTTAGCTGAAGAGAATGATATAACCCTTGAAGTACCACACAAAGGTAAATATTAGATTAACTGTAAACCTTTGTAAAATCTAAAGGTTTTTCTTAAATAAGTTTTAACTTTATGTGTGAAATACATTTCTTAGACATTCATATGTAATAATTATTAATTAACAATACCATCAAAACAAAATTCATGTTCACAAAAATCAAAATTTAAATACATATAACAGTAATTTAATTTTAAGTTACTAATAAAAAATGTATTTAATGATTAGGAAGAAAACGGATAAGAACTCAACCGAAATCTTTGAACAATTTTTACTTACAATTAACAACTGGAGAAGAAAATGAACCAAATATTACACAATCTGTTGAAGACTATTGGAGACAAAATTTATACTATCCAATAATTGATTCTATAATCGTTAATTTAAAATATAGGTTCTCTGAAGAAAGTTTATCTATGGCTTGCTCCGTTGATAATTTTATGAATATGAACTATGAAGGAAGCTTAGAGTTCATAAATAACTATAAAGTAAAATTGATATAATATTAAATACAATTTCAATATTGAATTCAATTTTTTTTTCAGTAGTGTAGTTTAAGTTACTATAACTTTAATATTTTTATTATTTTTACTATTCAATTTCAGAATGTGACAAAAGTTTCAATCGATTTATTAAAAGCTGAAATGATGGTTTTCAAAAACTGTTTGCCACCAGATTTCAATTTTGATGACATTAAAGGAAAAATAAATAAAGAAGCTTTTCCTAACTTGTATAAGCTACTTCAAATTGCAATTACAATCCCAATAAGTTCTGCAACTTGTGAACGTAGTTTTTCTAGTATGAGACGTATCAAAAATTGGCTAAGAACAAGTATGTTGCAGCAGCGCTTTAGTGACTTGTCAATTTTAAATATTGAGAGGGATTTATCAAATAAAATACAAACGGAAACAGTGTTAGATAGATATAACACAAAAACCAGGAAAATTGTTTTAAAATAATAGATTATAATATGTTATCTAAATAGTTGTTATTAGTTATTGTAATTAATTATTAATTATAATGTTTTTAGTGATTGTTCCTTAATATTAATCATTATCAAAATATCAAATGTGTTATCATATAAATTAATATAAATATGAAGTTGAGTTATAAAAGCATGTTGTTAATAGCTTTGAAGTTGTGTGTTGGTGGGGGAAGCCCCCACGGGTTACCAAGGTATACTAAATTTTAGCACCCCTTAAATTGCAGGTCTAGTTGCGCTTATGGTCAGTGCGTACGTAAAACGGGCGGCACGGCCGGTTGTTACGTCCTTTATGGTTATGAAATATGTTACGTAACGCCAGTTTTTCCGTTATCGCCTACAAAGTTTGTAGTACAAACCACATTTTTGTCGGATTGCGTTGGGGAATTTTTTCCAAATCGCGCAACGGGGTTATTTGGTGGTGGTAGAAAGTTGTAATTTAAGATAAAAAGAAAATTTCTACTTACCGGTGATTCCTGTTCGGGGAGCAAGTTGATGCGGACCTGTAGGGTGCCGAGTGGATGGTGGGTAGAGGTAACCAAAACAAATGATGTAAAACACATCTGTGAAACACTGATGTAGTTCAGTTTTTACCTATTTAATTATATGTAAAATCATTCAATTAATTATTGAAAAACTGTATCGGTGTCCGTCGGATACGGTGTCGTCAACATGAAACTTGCGGGGACGTGCGTGAGGTCCGTGTCCGGGTCGTTGAGAAAAACTAGTGACTTGGATAAGCTGGTTCACGGGGTGGGTGTCGCGCGCCGGCGTCGTCCGTCGTCGATTGAGAAGCCACAGCGTGGCTTCCGCGTAAAGGCTGTTTGAATTCAAACTGCCGAGTCACGTTATAGGTTTTCGCACGTCTGTGCAATTCCGTGAGTACGTTTCGAATACGTGTTATTAGGTCCTCGTCGTGGTACGATTGTGGTGTACCATAGTGATAGAGTGTGGATATTTATTTGGGTGAACAATTTATATATTTTTTCTTCCTTCGTCTAATGAATTTTTCGTCAAATTTTTGAGCATTCGCGACCATCTATATGTGTAATTGTTCACAGGCAAATACAATAGACAGTAATTCTAACTCGGTAGCACTGTAATTTTTCTCTGCGGTGTTTAAAGTTCGACTAGCAAATCCGATCGTTTGTCGTTCGTTGGATGAATCTACCTGAAATAATTAGACTCCAAGACCAAGATGACTGGCATCGGTTTGGCCCACACTGCTGTACCAACAGCAAGCTAACGCGATGAGCGTTACAACCTGGGCCTTTCGATTTTGAAATCCGGCAAGTTCCCGGAGTAGAAAATGAAGCAGCCAACGCGCTATCCCGTTGTCCGGTGGGACCAAATACAGTGGACGAAGAACAGTTGGAGAATAATATCCACGACCCCCCTGTGATTCAGCCCGGAGTGTCCGGAGAAACTTCCGGAGTCTTCCCTGATCTGTCGGGCGTGTCCAGAGGATCTGGTGTGAGTGTCACCTAGTGTGGAGCGATCCAGCCGAAGAGGGATTCCAGTACAGCCACAGGCCGCACCGCAACCGGTAACTCCACCAGCCGACTCCCAGGAGCGACAGCTGGCCGTGGTGGAGCGATGGATCGAGGCCATGGAGGTGACGTCCGTGGCCCCGCACCCCGTCCCGGAGTAGTCCAGTTGCTCGGGCGCGTCTCGCGGACTCGGGGAGAGTATGTCGTGGTCGTTATCGCAACGACCGCGGCGTCTCCATCGACGCCCGGCCAGCGGCGGTGGTGGCAGCAGCTTTTGCCGGACCGTCATCGTCGTAAAACGTGTATATATTATTGTCACATATACTGTGTTGCATATTCAGCATTTACATTGTATACTAAACGTTTATATTAATAATAATAATCATAAGTATCATATTACGATCGGTGGGGATTGTCCATCGGTCATTAGCAAGTAGACAATTTTATATGTATGTTAGTTCGTTTTATACTTTTCACAATAAAAGACTATAATATACGTTTGTGTTATTATTCATATTAACAATACACAACAAATTGGCGACGAAGATAAACATTTTTAAACTCATCTCATATTAAATTAAAATATTTATAAAATGGGTGAGGATAACAAAAATATTACTCAATTCCATAATATAATAGGTTCACCAGGAACATTTGAATCTGGAAACGACATAACAATATTTGAATCAAGACTTACAAATTTTTTCATTGCAAACGGAATAAGTAACGAAATCCAGAAGAGAGCTATACTACTATAGTACTATCTTCAATTAGTGAGGAAGTTCACAAAATATTATTCAGTTTATGCGTTCCAGCCAAACCAGACGTTCAGACATACGACACACTATTAGGTTTGTTAAACAATTATTACAAGCCAGTGAAATCGTACTTCGCATCAATATATGCATTCTACAACGCAAAGCAGAGACCAGACGAAACTGTAGCTGAATGGGGAGCAAGAGTAAAGAACCTAGCATCAAAATGTAATTTTTCAACGGAATTACAAATTGTAATCCGTGACATTTTTGTTGTTGGTATGAACGCGGGACCAATTCAAGATCGATTACTAGAGGAAGATGCCTCAAAAATAAGCATCACATATTCGCACCTTATGGAAATTTCTGCTGCAAAAGAATCTACAATCAACAATAAAACCGGATGGATAAAGGAAGAAGCTGACTTCAAATATCAAAAACAAAGTCAGCAAGCAAAATCAGCCAAGCAGTCAATCACGGAAAAATCAAAATGTGGAACATGCGGTCGATCAAATCACACACAAAAAGAATGCCGATACAAGGACTACAGTTGTAATATTTGCAATATCAAAGGTCATTTGGCTCCTATGTGTAAAAGTAAGAACAATAAACCAAAGTATGATAACCGCTCTCACAATAAATTTTTATCCGAAAATTCTGGTAATAACACGAATGAAAATATTCATGATGACGCAATCGCGTACAATTTATCTGACAATTTTTTTAATATGATTGAAAATAACTTTCAAAATAAAGTAAAACCGTACATTATCAATTTATTAATTGAAAATAAAGATTTAAAATTTGAAATAGATACGGGGGCTGTGCATAGTGTAATGTCAAAACAATTATATGATACAAGTTTTAATAATTTAACTTTATTACCAAACGATATTTCACTACGCGATTACGTCGGAAATGATATAAGCCCAATAGGAAAATTAATAGTAAATGCTAAATATTTGAAAAAGTCTTTTAAAATGTGCATTTACGTAATACAAAACGGAGGACCGCCATTAATTGGTAGAAATGATTTAAAAATAATAAACTATTCTCCTATTTATAACACTATAAATGTAAACGAAAATATAGAGAATATATTAAAAAATTTCGAGCATTTATTCAAAAATGAAATCGGCACCTTTAATAAATACCAAATATCGCTAAACATTAAAAAGGGGGCAATACCCAAGTTTTACAAGCCAAGGTCAATTCCTTTAGCACTAAAATCTAAGGTAGAGTCGGAAATTGATCGTTTAATAGATAATAATATTTTAACTCCCGTAAACTACAGCGAATGGGCCACTCCAATTGTTCCAATTCTTAAGCCCGACGGTACAGTTAGAATTTGTGGAGATTTCAAAATTACAATCAACCCCGTATTGGAAGGAACTGAGTATCCCTTACCAAAAATAGAACATCTTTATGCGAATATAAGTGGCTCAAAATATTTTTCTAAAATAGATCTCAAAGATGCATATCAACAAATGGTAATTAAAGAGAGTGATCGCAAATACACTACAATAAATACTCACAAAGGCCTATTCAGTTATACTCGAAATCCGTTCGGAATAAAAAGCTCAGCTGGGGAATTCCAAAAAGCCATGGAAATATCAACCACAGGCTTAGAAGGGATTGGTATATTTCAAGACGACATAATAGTTGCGGAAAAAACGGTAGAAGAACACAATAATAGATTAAAAAAATTACTTAACGTTTTATCCGAAGTTGGTTTAAGGGTTAAACAAAACAAATGTAGTTTTCTCAAAAATTCAATTGAATATTTAGGTCATAAAATCGATGAGCATGGCTTGCACACCTTAACTAAACACATAAATGCAATACAATCTGCCCTGGTTCCAGAAAATAAAACTATGTTAAAATCATTTTTAGGTTTAGTAACATATTACATTAAATTTGTTCCAAGAGCAGCGGACATTCTTAAACCGTTATACTCATTACTAAGACAAGAAAAAAAATGGCTATGGTCACCAGAATGTGATCAAGCATATGATAACATAAAAAAAATGCTTATCTCAAGTCCTGTGTTAGCACATTATGACCAAAAACTTCCCATAAAACTCACGGTCGATTCTTCGTCATACGCACTAGGTGCAATCATATCGCACACTTATCCTGACCACTCAGAAAGACCAATTGCATATGCATCACGAGTATTGTCAAACAGTGAATGCAAATTTCCACAAATCGAAAAAGAAGGTCTAGCCATAATTTTTGGTGTTCAAAAATTTTACGATTATTTATACGGTAGAAAATTTACATTAGTTACTGATCACAAACCATTAATCCACATATTTGGAGAAAAAAAAGGAATACCAATTTATGCGGCAAATCGCTTACAACGTTGGGGGCATACGTTCTTTCTTCATTCGATTTTGAAATTAAGTATATTAAATCAGAAGGAAATACTGCTGATTTTTTATCACGCATTAAAACAAACCAATGCAACAATAATATTAATGAATATGACGACGCTCACATAAATTTTATTCACGAACAGTCACCATTTCCGCTAGATTGGCACAAAATTAAAATTGAAACGAAAAGAGATCCAATTACCTCTAGAGTATTACACGCTACAAAAACAGGTTCATGGAGTAATGACTTTTCAATAAATTCCGAATTAAACTCGTATAATACACGCAAAACAGAAATTACTGTTGAACAAGATTGTTTATTTTGGGGCTATAGAGTAATCATACCAACCAAATTCCGTAAGTCAATTCTAACTGAACTGCATTCTTGTCATATTGGCATGTCGAGTATGAAAAGCATTGCGCGTTCGTATTTCTGGTGGCCTAGTATAGATAAAGAAATTGAGGATATGGCCCGAAACTGCAATGAATGCATAAATGCGAGACCTAATCCTCCTAAGTCAGTACTAACTCCGTGGAAATGGCCACAAAGACAATGGACGAGAGTGCATTGCGATTTCTTAGGTCCGTACAAAAACAAAACATTCTTAATTATTGTCGATGCAACCACAAAGTGGCTAGAAGTTTTTCAAGTAAATTCGATGACAGCACAAACGGTCATAACAAAACTGTCTGAGTTAATTGCACGTTTTGGCATTCCCAGAACAATGACAACTGACAATGCAAAATGTTTTAATGGCGATGAATTCCAGTCATATTGCAAGACACTAGGTATCAGGCACTTGACAGGGGCACCTTTCCACCCAGCCTCAAATGGATTTGCCGAATCTGGAGTAAAAATAGTTAAGCAATTTTTTAATAAATGTTCAACATCATTACACCATTTGAATGAATTTTTATTGATGTATAGAAATACTGTACACTCAACCACAAATGAAACGCCAGCAAAACTTATGTTTGGCCGCTCAACACGTACTATTTTTGATTTATTAATCCCAAAAAAAAGAAGTAGTTATTAATAACCAAATTACACAAATAAAAAATTCAGGAAAAAGAGATATTAATATAAAAGAGGGTGATTTGGTATTAGTTAAGGATTATCGAAATAAAAATGAAAATTGGCAAAAAGGAAAAATAACAGAAAACATTAGTAAAAACACTCATAAAATCATACTAGACGAGGGTTCTGAATGGATAAGACACACTGATCAGATATGGCCACACAACCAAATAAATAACTCACTGTCACCTACACCAGCTAGACAAGCAAATGAAAATTCTAAAAATACTGAAACAGTAGGTGAAAATCAAAATCCCGATCCGGCCGATCCCGTAATAGTAAATAAAACACCCAGACCAATTAGATCTAGAAAACCGCCTCAGCGATATTCTCCAAGTGATTATGCTTAGGGCAATAATTGCAATAATTAACTATTAATTATATCAGTTATCATATTATATAATAAATACTCGTATATATAAAAAAAAAAAATAAATAAATAAATAAATACTAACATAGTAATTAAGCACTATACAAAATACTTTATATTTTTTTTTAAAGGAAAGAGATGTTGCATATTCAGCATTTACATTGTATACTAAACGTTTATATTAATAATAATAATCATAAGTATCATATTACGATCGGTGGGGATTGTCCATCGGTCATTAGCAAGTAGACAATTTTATATGTATGTTAGTTCGTTTTATACTTTTCACAATAAAAGACTATAATATACGTTTGTGTTATTATTCATATTAACAATACACAACATACTGTTTACGATCTGTGCAAATAAAAGTATTGTCGAAACTAAAGTGTCTCGTTATTCTGTCTGCATTCTTTCCAACCGTTCCTACACCTACACCCGGCACCCCCTGTGCGCACGCCTATGAAAATCAGTAATATCACAACAAAAACCCATCGTAAACTACTTGTAAAAATGACTAAGTAAAAAATATACAGAGTGTATCTTATGTCATAAGACAGGTTTTTTGACGATTACGGAACGATAATATAGAATTTCGTTAAAACGAAAAAAGACGTGTTTCTTTATTTTTAACAAGCAATTTTTTTATAACAATTTCAAAATTTTTAAACACGCAGGTGTACCAATAGCAAAATCAACTTTTTTTTTCAAATGGTAACCACTATATTTTTTAATGGATTCTGGTAAAGCTTTTTTTTCTGAACATTTTGGTAGTCAAATCGTCAATTTTGGTTCTCTAGTTTATTAACTATGGTCCTCCAAAGATTAGTAAAATATGCATTAATACTTTTAATTAAAATAATGGGTATAGGTTTAATTTACAAGCGCTAAACAATTTTTTCTCATAACTACCATTTAATACACTACAATATCATAAATTTGAATTGTTAATTAGGTAGGTGGCTAAGGTAATAATGGTAAATTGGTAAATGGTATTCGATTGTTGACATTAATATGTGCAATGTTTTGTGGTGCTCTTTTCGTAGTGGTATAAAGTATAAACTTGATATTTTAAACATAGATTCCCTATAATGGTATCGCATCCAAAGTATGAACTTAGGAGTTGTAATTCATCCCTTTCCATCCTCTTTAGTTTTGGATATTAAAATAATAATATTGATTTTTATGATCGTATGTTAAAATAAAAATAATGAAGTATGTTTACCAATTTACCATTATTACCTTAGCCACCTACCTAATTAAGAATTCAAATTTATGATATTGTAAGAAAAGTAACTGTGATGAAAAAAATGTAAAGTAATTAATTACGATTATAATAATAAATTAAAATAATAATATTGATTTTTATGATCGTATGTTAAAATAAAAATTATGAAGTATGTTTACATACAATTGTGTTTGTTATTTTTTTTTTTTTTTGAGGGTGTCATTAGATTACTGATTCAACTATTGTAGTGTATCAAATGGTAGTTATAAGAAAAAATTGTTTAGCACTTGTAAATTAAACCTATACCCATTATTTTAATTAAAAGTATTAATGCATATTTTACTAATATTTGGAGGACCATAGTTAATAAACTAGCGAACCAAAATTGACGATTTGACTACCAAAATGTTCAGAAAAAAAAGCTTTACCAGAATCCATTAAAAAATATAGTGGTTACCATTTGAAAAAAAAAAAGTTGATTTTGCTATTGGTACACCTGCGTGTTTAAAAATTTTGAAATTGTTTGTGAGAGTTAGTGACTTTTTAAGGCCACCAAAACCACCCATGACGAAAGGGGAACACTTTCCTCATGACCTGTGAGCCGCACCGCGTGAGACCCGAGGGTCAAGTCGGTGGAGCTCACAGGCTTTGATACACGCAACGGCAAGCTGAATGCCGAGGATTTATGTGGGGAGAGAGAGAGAAAAAAAATAAATAAGTTAATGAAAATAAATAATAAGAGCAATATTAGGGTAATCACGTGGATGTATTTTACAGGTTTTTTGATTGTAGATAATTTAAATAAGGTTTTGACATTTTTCAGTTTAACAAAAATAAAATATATAGCATGGCACATGGCAAGTAGGTATAAAATATAAAAGGGCACATGGGAAACAAAAAAAACAACGCTCGGCCCACGGGGATCGACACATCACATTACTCGTGGTGGTCTCCACAGGGTAACCGGGGCAGTTTAAATGATTTAGGGGGGAAATGAAAGGTCGAACGTCTGTAAGTGTGGTCCGGGGCCCCCTACTTAAACGCGCACAGGGACAGCTGGTTTTTTACGCCAGCTGTATGTGAACGCGTAGGAGGTTACCCGCTAGGCCCCAATGGCAACCACACCTGGACGTTCTGCAACGCACATTTCACAAGTATCGTGCTTTTAAGTGACAAAAAATAAAAAAAGAAGGGGGGAAAATTTTGTAGGTATTACTCTGACGACGTTGAGCTTGAGATGTGTTGTTGACCGAGGAACTGGATGGGCTGGTTAATACCACCGGCACACACGCGGCCGGCATGGCCCATCTTGTCGTCGATCAAACCGCCTCGGATGGTGACGGCGACACGGAGGTTGACAGGTTCAGCAGCTTTGCCCACCATCGGGCCCGTGAGCGGTACTTAGCCCATCATGGCGATTGGTTCCTGTCGATTAAAAACAATAATAATAGTCACACGCGGAGTGATGGTGGTCGACACGCGGTTGTGGTCGTTGTTGAAAAGTTCGGGATGCGTCACGATACCAAAACGTCTGGTTCGTTCAGCGGTCTCGGAAAATGTGTGTAAAGACGGCTGATGTTGTCTTGCCGCTGGTCGTGGCCGTTGATGTTGACGTGGTGGGGAAGGTCAGTGTCGCATTATAGGGACGTTTACAATAATAATTGGGAAAACAGACTGCTTTGTCGGTGCGTATCGACGGACGCGACAGCTGCGACCGGCGGTGACGACCGGCAACGGCAGCGGCCTGTTGGCGGGCGGACACTGCGGGTTGTGGGGGCCGGGGTCAGGTGTTGTGTAACATTGTGGTCATTTATGCATTGGCGCACGATAAATATAATAATATCATAATGTAATCATAAGTAATAATAATAATGAAAAATAATATGCTCAGGGGAACTATAATAATATTAAGTAAGGCCTAAAATTCTGTGACGTTACATGTTATAAAAAAATTGCTTGTTAAAAATAAAGAAACACGTCTTTTTTCGTTTTAACGAAATTCTATATTATCGTTCCGTAATCGTCAAAAAACCCCGCGTACAATGACATAAGATACACCCTGTATATTTTTTACTTAGTCATTTTTACAAGTAGTTTACGATGGGTTTTTGTTGTGATATTACTGATACACCCTGTATAAGATCTTTAGACACTGTAAAGATGTGATACGGCGAGGAATTATTTAGAATAGTATATAAATATTAATAATAATATTTTTTAAATTATAATATTAAGTTATATTTTAATGGTCATTCGCCGTTTAATTATTTTGTTCATCACACTTAGTTCCTCTCCAAGTAATTAATAAATTATTGAAACAAAATAAGTATACTTAAATTCAATATACTTAGAATTTATTCATGATATCACATCTTTACAGTGCTTAAAGATCTTATATTTTTTTTTTAATTAGCCATTTTTATACGTAGATTACGAAGGGTTTTTTGTGT